CGGGAACATGCCAGCATCTTCACCAAGCCTGGTCTTACGGAAGAGTGCTAGTTTCTCTTCCCTCTTACTCCCCTCCTCCCACCCTGGCAGTCATCCTTCTGTTTTGCCATTAACCTGCTGAAGAAAGGACTTTCTCCCCATCTGCATTTTCTCTGCAATAATGTGTCTGCCCCAAGAATGGAGAGTAAACCCACAGTATACAAGGGGCTGGGGAGGCTAATTAACAAGACTTCAGAAATTCCGACAGAGCTGCACAAGGGTTATGTCAGAAATAAGAGTGGTAACTCAGAAACCACTAAGAGTCTATCAACCCCGTGCAGGGCTGATAGGACTGGCAGCCCACTCGCCTCTGCCTCCTCTGCCTCCCACTCTCCTTGCCTTTCCCTGAAAAGCAAATCTAATGACTGGCAAAAACAAAACCAAGGATGGAGGAGAGGGGGTGGCTAGTCTGTGTTATTTTGCAAAGCCATTCATCTCTCCCAGATTTAGCTTTACAAGGAAAGTAGGCTGAAGTAGACATGTGTCTGCTTCCTTCTAACCCCATTCTTCACTGGATGGTGGTATCAATCGGCATCCTGGGATTAGAATGACAGAAATATCTGTCCCAGGCATCACAGCAAACATTTCACACAGATGAACATGTTATATTTACACAAGCCTCTGAAGTGCATACCATTATTATCGTTCCCATTATTTAGATAAAGAAACTGAGGCAGAGAGCTGTGGAGTAGCTTGCCCGTGGCCTCATAACTAGAATGTGGGAGAACACCAAGATTTGAACTCAGGCTGTCTGGCCACCCACAACCCACCTGCTACCAACCTTCTGTGCCCTCCTTATTCCCGTCTCAGTTCTCCCCACCCATCCTGTTCTTTGCAGTCAGGACCCCAGCTTTACGTGCCCAACACTTTCTGTGGTCCTAGTCACTTCACATGGGCTAAGGTGCCAATTAACTAACTTATTGAGCCATTCCATGCCAATGGGGAAAGGCTGGAGGAAACCCCACCACCATCCTACACATACTCTGGATAGTCCTCACTCCTACCCCAGGAGCACAGGTCCACATCCAAAGCAAATGCCACCTCATCCTGGAGATCTTCCTTGATTTTGCCCTGAGTTCTGACCCCTTTATACCTCTCTTGGGACCTTTACCTCCTAATAATTACTTGTGTCTGCACAAGACTTTGTAGTCTCCAAAGCCCTTTCCTATCCACCTAGTCCAGCTTCTTCCCAGGTCTTTTAACCTCCTTCCATAACTGGGATGAGCGCAGTGGGTCAGCACCGAGCTCTGGAATCCAGCTGCAAGCATCCCCGCTCCACCACTTGCTAGCTGTGTGCTGCTGGGCAAGGTACTTGCTCAACTTCTCAACATCTGCGTTTCCCTATCTGTGAACCTGGGATAACAACAGTGCCTCCCTCATCTGGTTGGAAGGTTGACTGAGATAAACAGGCATGCACACACAGCACCCTAACTCAGCAAGTGCTGGCTGTTGTTATTATCTCGCTAAATCTCCCAAAACTCTGTGGGAATAAACCTCCCCACCACCCTCCCACACACACTCTGGTTCTTGTCATCAGTAAAAATGAGTTTCAACCAGATGACCTTTAAGCTTTCTTCCAGCTCCATCAAGCTATGATTCTACCATGAATCACAGTTGTTATGGACACGTTTTAACTCCTTATGCCATAGCAATCTCCTGAAGGCCCAGCCCTTCACAGAGGGCCTTGTATACAGTTAGCTGCCCTGCCAGGGTGATGTGAGCACCTAACAATAGTCCTTGCCTCATCCTCGCATTGGGAAAATTCCTATATAGCAATTAGTACAGTGAGTAAGCCCCTAATAAGTCATAGTTTCTATTATTATCCCATCTGATACCAATAAGATTCCCAAACCTGGTTATTAAAAGCATAAGAGCCACACTGGGTGTGGACTCATCCTAGTGCTGATCCAGTGAGACCGTGAGCAAGTTAATTCACCACCCTGTGCCTCAATTTCCTCCTCTGCAATATGGGTGCGATTATGAGTATCTTCCTAATAAGGTTGTTGTGAGTTAATAGAAGAAGGTCACTTAGAATTGTACCTGACATATGCTTGGCATATGTAAGTGCCTTTTGTCATCAGAGACACCAAGGGACATCCCCAAGCAGTAGTGGAGTTGGGGTCCAAACCTAAGCTCAACTGTTTCCAGAGCCTGGTGCTAATACTAAGATGGGGCTGCCCTGTGTGATCCACATGCATTTCAGCAGGAGCCTCCATGTCCGCTCCTTTCAGTTGTCTTCCCTGGCAAAGGAGTTCTTATAATTGTGATTTCAGGATGGGAGGAGAGTGAGTCAGCGCCAGAGAGACCTAAGGATGCCCTCTAATCATACCACAGGAGAAGCAGCCTTCTCCTCACCTGTGCCTGGTCGTATCACTTTAGCATTCCATCAGGACCTGGCCCAGAAGCCCAGAAACATGGCCACACCCACGCCTGCCATCTAGCCCGGAAACTGCAGTGAAACCCTCAGCACTCAGCTGACGTCACATATGAGGCTAGTCCCAGCTCTTCTATGGAGACAGGCCCTGCTGGCCCTGAGGCCACTTCCTATTTCTGAGGCATGATTCACCCAGCAGACAAGACCAGACAGTCTCGTTCTTACCTACCAGAAGGAGGGCTGGGTGGTGGATCCAGGGGGAACAGAAAAACAAGCAGGGCTTAGAGCTGGCAGGACTGGTCGCTGCTGGGCTGCAGGGGCGGGGCAGGCAGGGGGAGCGCATGCCTTAGGAGCTGTGCTCAGCATGGCCACCCACTCACCCATTTATCTTCCTTGCAGTTAAATGTATTGATTTCAGCAGGAATCTGTCTGTGCTTCTAAAGCCCCAGATATGCACTTATAATATCTCACATTTGTGTACCACAATGATTTTCAAAGCAGTTTTCCACAAATAGTTTTAATTTGGGTTACTTTTAAAATATTTGCTTCTCTTATTACAAAGCAACACATGCTTATGAGGAATGCTGGGAAAATTTTTCAAATGTCAATTTTAAATATATATAGAATTATACCAATAGCAATAAGATTTTCAGTAAATTTTCAACTAGTTTTTTTTCTAAGCCCATAGACATATATAGTTCATGAAACAAAATTGGAGCCATACCACACAAAGAGTTCTGAATTGTTTTTTTGTTTTGTTTTAATTTAACAAAGTCATGGGCATTTTTCAATGTTACCAAACATTCTGCTATAGCAATTCATAATGGCTGCATTTATCAGAATAGATGTGTCACAGTTTTGGTGGCCATGCTCTGATTGTTGGACTTTCAAGATGTTTACCAAAATATTGCTATTAAAATAATAGTGCCACAAACATCTTTTTCCTTGCATTTTTGTCTGTATATCTGGTTATGTGCCAATAATAAATTTCTAGTAATGGAATTACCAGCTCACAGGATTTGAATATTTCTGAATATATCTAGCCAAATTACTTTCCAGAAAATACATCCAGTTTACACTCCCCTGGCAATGTGTTTGAATGTTCTTCTCACTCTGTTTTGAGCTTGTGAGCCAGTGAGTTAGGTTACAAGGTCTCATGTTACAGATGAAGAAAAGTGGGCACAAAGAGATTAAGTAACCAGCTCCAGTTCATACAACTGAGATCCAAGCTCTGGCCTCCTAGAGTTGGGGTCAGGGGCCCTCCAGACAAGGGGAGCTCTGAAGAGGTTTCCTGAGTAATGGAGTTGGATAAAAAAAAAAATTTTTTTTTTCTGATGATACCCTTTTTTTCTTTTAGTCTTTTTTTTTTTTCCTTTCCCCTGATGCCTTTAGATTGGAGTCTTGGTTTCTCATTCTTTCATGTTCTTTAATATAGTATAAGCTGTTGTTTCCAAATGCCTCTAAAGTGCCCATTTTTCATCAGTCTCATCAGTTTTGGAGTATTTTGTGTTTTTATTACCATTCTCTTGTAAGTCATTTTTAATTTCACTTAATTAGAATTAATTTCCCCTTTGACCCATGAGTTTTACTCAATTATTTTAGTCAGAAAACATGATCTGCTTTAGGAGTTGGCAAACTTTTTCTGTAAAAGACCAGATAGTAAACATTTCAGGCTTTGCAAATCCATACAATCTCTGTTGTGACTGCGACACTCTGGTGTCAGAGCCTCCCTGTTCAGCGTGGGCTGTTCCTCCATCAGACTTGGTCGTCACAGCACCCATTCTGTTTATCCCATCTCTAGCAACTTCTGTGTTACTCAAACCTATATTTGCACTTGTTCTTTGTTGTCACTTCTAGTCTTAGTGCAAGTGTATCTGTCACTGTTAATTCAAGATCTTAGGCCTTCTCTTCCAGTGTTAAAGTTGTCTGGCTGAGAGTTTTCCCTTTGGAACAGCCGTATTGCTCAGGAGTCTGCTCTTTTGGTCTGTGCAGCAGAGACCCCCACTAGGCAATGCTTGTTTCAGACTGTGGTGCCATTGTGCCCTGATGTGGAGGCTGTTTGGGCAACTAAACGTAATTTGGGCAATGTCCAAACATCCACCACCTCGGGGATACTGGCACCTCATTTGTCTTGCTGGAAAACTAAAGCTGGCCACAGGGCCTCAGGCGCATCCTTACTCTGGGGCTTTACCCCAAATCCCTGGCAAACATCAGCATGAGGGAACAGCCCCTCCTGAATGACCAGCCACTTGACCCTCAGTCTTGATGTTCTACTCTCATCCTGCCCTGGATGCTCAGGCCACTTCCCAGTCACTGTAAGATCAGCAGTCACTGTGCCTACAGATGGAGGAGCAGACCCTGCACTGGCCTCATCCTCCTTTATCCCCATACTGGGTTGCTTCCACTCTACCTGCCACTTCATCCTGGCATTTGCCCCACAGCTCTCTCACAGTTTCTCACCTGCAGAGGAATTGGTTCTTTCTCTCTTCCGTGGGCAGACACAAGGTTCTCTGCCAGGCCAGGAATGTCCCCACAATCTAGGTGTCCTCACTGACAGTTGCACTCAGCTGTCACTCTGTGTCCACAGGGTCTGCGGAAGAGGGAGCTGCTGAAGGAGCTGCTGCCAGTCATTGGGCAGAACATCCGATTCCAGCGCCTCTTCACCGAGTGTCAGGAACAGCTCGACATCCTGAGGGACAAGTAAACTGCTCCGGCCTACCCTGGCTGCAGCAAGGGCAGGGCCACACTCTTGCCGCTGATGACACGCAGGGCCTCCTCTCACCTGGCCAGGCTGCAGGGGAAGAAGACACTGGCAGGAGATGTGCTGTCCTGCACCAGCGCCAGCCCAGCTCTCTGGGCAGATGTGCCCTGTGTCCTGGGCCTGACGTTGCCTCTGGAGGGGAAAGCTCGTTCCTCCCTCCAGGCCCCCTATGCGGAGCTGGGGCTGGAGCTCTGCCCAGGTGCCCTGGGGCCAGCAAGGCATTCCCAGGCCTGCTGTCTCCAGCACGGCCCCAAGGTGGACACTAGCCCCTGCTGCTGCAGGCGCTGTGCTGCTTCAGCAGTGATGATTGAGCCATTTGTGAGAGAGAATCTGAAAGCGTTAGGTATTACACAGTCAGCAGACTGACCTGAGACCTATGTAAAAGGAAAGCTGTTCCAACACACGGACTATTTTTGTACTAGAATTTGCTAACTTGTAATATGGAATTTCCTTTGGCCGATAATCAGGATTTCCCTATAAGTCACTTGGACATTGGTCACTTGTAGGAAATTTAAACTCTAATTATGACAGCTACACTGAAAAATAATTGTACTGAAATTAACTTGTCTATCTTCATTTGGTTTTAATTTTTAAATGTTTGTAAAAAGAGACTGTTTTGGGGGAATGGGGCAAAGGGGTGGGCAATTTCTTTTGTAAGTGTAAAATAAATGAACACACATTGGATACCAAACCCTCCTGATTTCTATTGCCTTTTCCTTCTAACTTTCATCCTCCCCACACTGTGCATCTCTCTTCTGAAGTAGGCAGTGACAAAACATGAGAGCCAGAAGGCATCTTTTGTGTCATCTGATTCCCCCCTGTCATGGTTAATACTGAGAGTTGACTTGATTGGATTGAAGGATGCAATATTGATCCTGGGTGTCTGTGAGGGTGTTGCCAAAGGAGATTAACATTTGAGTCAGTAGGGCTGGGGAAGGCAGACCCACCCTTAATCGGGTGGGTACCATCTAATCAGCCGCCAGCAAATATAAAACAGGCAGAAAAACATGAAGAGATGAGATATGACTAGCCTGCCAGCCTGTATCTTCCTCCTGTGCTGGATGCTTCCTGCCCTTGAACATCGGACTCCCAAGTTCTTCAGTTTGGGGACTTGGACTGGCTCTCCTTGCTCCTCAGCTTGCAGACAGCATATTGTGGGATCTTGTGATCATATAAGTTAATACTTAATAAACTCTATATATCCTACTCATTCTGTCCCTATAGAGAACCCTAATATACCCCCCATGCAGAAATTCATTTCACAGTATAGAGGGGTCACTTCTATGGTCATGCAGCACCGTAGGTCACTTTGCACACATCGTCTCCCAAGGGAGGTGTCATGGTTCTTGGTTCTGGTCTTGCTGTGCTCCAGGTCCAGATCATACTGTGCACCAAGGGCTGCAGCTGACTGAAAAATTTCATGAAAGGAAATCAGTATATACAGTCTTGAGTATACTGGAGAATTATCAGGAAAGTTGCAATTTTCTTAGAAAGTGGTCCAGACGTTGATCTACAGGAGAAGAGATAGAATCACAGAATCTTGAATCACAGTGAGGGATGAGCACCACCCACTCCTGGGTCCTGATCTTTGTCACCACCACCCTGTGTGTGGAAGGAGCCCTGGGCTTGGAATCAGAGGCCTGGGTAACTGACCACTGATCTCTGGCTGCTTCCCCACCTAGCAGCCATTCCACTCCATGCCTCCCTCGGATGTCAAGTGGCTGGATGTACATGCCAAACAAAGCCAGCACATTGTGCTTGTGTGCATGCATTGACAGAGCAAGACTGTCTCAAAAAAAAAAAAAATTTATGACTAAGAACTCAAAAGCAAATACAACAAAAAAGTAGACAAATTAAACAAACTAAAAAGCTTCCATACAGCAAAAGAAATAACAGAGTAACAACACATGTCTATTTGAATGGCTTACGTTTTTTAAAAAGACAATAATGAATATTAGTGAGGATGTGGAGCAACGGGAACTCTTGCATTGCTGGTAGGCAGAATAGTTACTTTGGCAAACAGTGATAGTTCCTCATAGAATTAAACATACACTTGCTGTATAACCTATGGACTCTATTCCTAAGTCTGTTGGTTTTTCTTGAGATAGAGTACATTTTCCTCAGAGAAGGATG